CCTGCGGTGAGTACCGCGCCCCGGGCTCCGGGACCGCGGGACCAGGGAGCAGCAGGTGGGGCCCCGGGGCCAGCGGCACCTGAGGTCCTGGCTCTTTCCGGCGCCTCAACCTCTGCTTCGGCAGTAGACTCTCGAGGGCTTGACTCCTCGCGAGCTCAGACCTTGTACCGCTGGGGCTTCTGAAAGAGAGTCCAGTGGGATGGTTCGGCTTCCTGCACCAATCTGACAGTGTTTCTGAGGTATAAGGTGGCTTTGGACATTGCTAGTAATCTTGGCGAGAATTCACTGTAAGCTGTCATCTTGGGTGACGTCTTTCTGGGTCAGGGCCAACGCTGTCAGCAGGAAAAGATGAGGGAGTCACGGCCGAGCTCCCCCGCAAGGACCCCAGCCATACATTTAAAGAACCCACCTCCCCTGTTTATAGCAGCACAGTTCACAATAGCTAGGTCTTCTAAAACTTTATTTTATTAGTGCATGTTTGTAGGGCATGATGATCACGTTCCTTGTAGGGAGCTAGTGCGTGGACATAACACCCCTCAAATCTTTCTCCAGCCTCTCTCCCCTCTTTCCTACCTCCTCCATCTCTTGGTCTCCTTTCCATTCGCTAAAGATGTTTCCCTCTCTCCTATTATCCATCTTTGATGTATATATACTTTGGGGTTCTCGTACATGAGAAATCATGCACTATTTAAGTTTGTGTCTGATTTATTTCACTTAGCATTATGGTCACAAGGTGCATTCCATTTTCCTACAAATGACTCAAGTTTATTCTTCTTTATGGCAGAGTAGTACTCCACCGTGTATAAATACATTTGGTTGATAAATATCTAGGCCTCTTCCATGCAAGCAAGTACTAACAAAAATAAAAATAATAAAAAAGAACATATCTCCAGATGCTAAAGGTGTATAGCACATTGAGATTGTAACAAGGCCTTACAAGTTGTCAAATTATTTAAACCTGGAAATATATGTATATCAGAATTTATTTCTTAAAAAAACCTTTACCTCCCATGAATCGTTGATTGGAGTAATGTCATCTTAAATTACCTCATTTGACTAGTGACTAGTGACATACTCCCAGTCTTGTTTTCACTGAAGCCAGGGGTTGGTTCGAGACCCCACTCCCAGGGGACACATCTGTCTCCTTTTGTTTTGTTCATATGGGACGGTATTGGCCATTTTGTTTATATTTCTTCTATTACTTTTTAATTTGTGCTGGATACAAAACATTCTGGTACCATATCCAGGCACTGGAGGTTTCCCTTTGCAGTGGCCACAGCCATGATGACCAAGGGAGGTCATGCCTCTTCTGTTCCTTCCCTGGCTTTCCTCAGAGGTCAGAGGTCAGAGGTCAGAGAGCAGCTCCACTCTGGTCCGGTCCTGCAGAACCCATAGCCCCTTCGGGGTTGGATCTGAGCATCTAATAGATTTTCCTGTCTGTACTTTTCAAACTTCACATTCATAGGTCTTTCCCCCCAATAGGGTTGTTCTGGGGAAGTTAGCATTCCTCCCCTCCCTCCCTCCTTCTCTCTTGTGTTCTGTATAGAGCTAATGACTGATTATTTAACATTCATTTAGCAGGAAAGATCACTTATTAGGCAGAGAATCAAAGCTGTAGTTCAAGCTCTTGGAGAACAACCCACTGTGGTACTAATGGAGTGGGAGCTAGGGATCCTCTGTTAACTTGCCTTTTTAATTAGTAGAAAAAAAGTCCTGAAAGAATAAAACATGAGTGCATTTCTTCATCAGGTCAGGAGATTACCGACCTAATGAAAGCTGAGTTAAGGCTAAGGCACAGACCCATGACCAGTGTCCAGAATCCTTTTAGTTTCTTGGAGTCCATTGAGTTTGGATCAGCACACATTCTTGGAGGGCTCGCTGTGTGCCAGGCACTGCTCGTGGTACTGGTGCTGGGTCTACCCTGAGGAGAGATACCCAATTGCATGAGGTCTTCTGTCACCATGCTTTAGTGCCCTGGTAATCTATTTATTTATTTTACAAAAATTTTATCAGACAGTCGCTACTTAGGGTAGATGGACCCATGAGAGTATGCAAGTCTCCACTGGCAAATGCTTTTCTACAGGTACAAATTCCCTAGGATAAATTTGATCATGACGTATGCCTAAAATGTACCAATAAACTTAATTGTTTTTTTTAAATCCTCAGGAAAGAGTTGGGGGAAGCCAACTTCCCTGCTTCCCCCTGTCACCTGAGCCATCACATTTCTAAATTCTGCTTAGGAAATCCCCATGAGAGGGCTGATTAGTTCACTCCTATGCCTAGGGCCTGGGCTCCAAGGACTAAATGAAACAAACATCGCCACTCTTGTGGCTCACAATGATTGATTTTCAGGTGCAGTTTAAACAAAAAAGCTACTGAGAAGCATGGCTTCCTTCTCCCTTGTAAAAGAAACACCTTTCGTTCAGTCCTTAGACTCGCCCTATGGTCAGCTGGAATTTTTGAGCTCAATCCTGTGCCAGACTCTGGGATATAAAAGAATCTTTGTCTACCATGCAGGCCCTGTGCCTGGGGCCTGGTACAATGGGGAAACTGTCGGGGACCTAGGAAGGGTCAGACGAGACCCCTGTTGTAATTACAGACGAAAGGTCGCCATGGTCGGATCTGTGTAGAGAAGTTTTGACCAGAAAGACCCACCAGAATGGGTGTGAGGGAGGAGAGAGATTTGGTCCCGAGGGTGTGGCTGGTGACTCACGTGTGTTGGCTGCATGAATCAGTGCCTAGGAAAGATGCGCAGGATGTCCTAATATTTGGAATAGTTGTCTGGCCTAATAGGGTTCTGCTCAGGCTTCCCAAATGTAGATACCTCTGAGCAGAATGATTCACCCCGTCAGCCCGATTCGCCATCCAGTTAGGCTGTGTGGCCCCGTGGGACACTCAGCTGGTACAGCTGTCACTGATCAAAGGGCAAGGGAGGACACAAAGCTTCCAGGGCTGTTTGATGTGGTTGGCCGGAAGCAGGGACTGAGCTGAAATCGCATCCGCTGCCCAAATAAGCTCCATTAGCCACCGGTGACTTTTGATCCCCTACTTCTCTGGGGGCAGTCCAGTGGACAGCCCCCTAGTTAAAAGAAGTGCCTTTGCATTATTGATTATCCCAGGGATCGGGTCACTCTACTTTCTTCCAGCAGTGCGTCTCGCATAAGCGCCTGAAGCTATTTGAGAGAAGGGGCCTGTATGAATTATTCCTTAAAAAAGAAACATATTCCCCTCTACTGCCTCTGCTTCCCAAGCAGACCTTCAAACACTAGCTTAGCAGGAGGCTACCCTGCCTGCCTTCAAAAGCTAGCTTAGTGGGGGATAACAGGCAGGGTAGAGTGAGGGCAGGGAATCCGGAGGAAAAAAGCAGGTGGCACCAGCTAGAGGAGGGACAGCGGCGCAGGCTGTGCTGCCTTCTGACTGCGCTTCCTCTTGTCTTCCTCTTTGGATTTCTTATTTCTAAAATCAGAACAACAATGTCCTCTTCTCCCTGCTGCCTTCACGGGGCTATTTTAAAGAATCATGAAACAATCATCTTCATTTCTTCCTTGCTGATCTTGTGTGAAGGTAATTCCCCAAGTGTGATGGATTTGAAGAGCCAGCTGTCACCCTGAGCCCACACATTGTTTTCCATTTCTTACGAAACTGCTGGAAACCCAGAGGAGTTTCATCATCTTCTCCCTTCATGCCTCTTTCAGACACATACAAGGGCTCTTACTTTTAAGTCATCAACACTGGAGGGAGAACTATTTCCTCAGGGGTCTTTGATGGCTTCGTTATCAGAAGGGACAGATGACAGAGGGGAAGGAAGGAATCCCGAGAGAGGGCAAGGGCACAGAATAGGAGGGGGCCCTAAAATAAGACTTGAGAGCAGGGCTCCCCCCACCGCCGCCAGCTTTGTTCTTGGGGTTCACTCTGCTTACGTGGATGGCAAGGAGTCCTCAACAGGGCCAGGACAGCTCACTGCCGGGGCCCTGGGCTCAGGCAGACTGGATTCAGTGTGGCTTATCACTGGCTTGTGACTTTGGAAGGATTCTTGACTTTTCAGAAGCCTCGTTTGCAAAGCAGAGGTAAGCAGCGTTATCTCCTAAAATGCCCCGGGTTTAGCAGAGAAATCACGGCAGGAGGAAACAAAATGCTCTCTGGCCTTCAACATCACAGTTTGATTACACCAAGCAGCCTTCACACTGCCCGGTTACAGTAGGGAAAAGGCTTTGTTTAAGAGATTGACCTGGGCAAAAGCTGGAAGCTAGAGATGATGACTTTGACCTGCTGTTTCTTGTCTCTCAAAGGTAGATGACATTCTCGGCTTTCATGGAGGTGTGGTTCAAAACAGAGGTGGCACTGGTGACCCCTTATGGACAGATCATTCCCTGCCTGTTGGCCCTGCTGGGATGGTGTGTGTGTGTGGTGGGGGTAGTAACAAAAGCCAGAGGCGCACGGGCCCATCTCATTCTCTACCAGGCTCTGTCCTGTGAAAGACCCTACTCCTTCCCCATCCTCCCTACGACTCCTCACGTGCCCCCTCCAGGAAAGTCACTTCAGACATGGTGGGAGTCATCTTCCACTGACTTGTTTGTTCCTAAGGCCTAGCCAGAAGAGAGGAGATCTAATAATCATTCATTTGGTGCCCTAGATCGTAATAAAAATACAGTAGCTGACACATAGAGCACTGAGCTGAGCTATTTTAAAACCTGGGAACTATTAAACTCTGAGTCCTGTTTAATGAAGACTTTGGGGTCCAGCGTTGGCCTTCTATGGGGCCACGCCAAGAGGACCAGTGCCCCTGCTGTAGCCATTGTCCCTTCCCTCTGCCATGCCTGGTCACTGGGGGGCTGGTGGAGGCCCCGCTGCATCGCCTTCCTCACCTGGTTGCCCCTCAGTGCCTCGTCTAGAAAGTACATGCAGTCGTGGAAAGGGTTCTGGGCAGAAGCCGGCTTACCCAGCATTTGCAGTGTCAGTCTCTGCAATTTGACTTGAACCTTCAGAGAAAAAAACCCAAACCCAAAACAAAACAAAAAACCAAACAAACACAACATGGATTGATTTTGAAAACCTTGTTTGTTTCCCAATGTTTTGCAGATCTTTTCCAAACTCCTGTTCAGCACTTGGAAGAAAAATTGCAGCTATGTACCACAGCTTTACTAGTAAATCATTAAAAGAACATATTTTCCCTCCTCTGATGGATATGATGATTTATGTAAATTTTTGTAAGTATGTACCTTCCCTGAATTTTTCTACATATTTCTTTTCCCAAACAAAGAACTTACTGTGTTAGAAGCTGACATAATGAAAAAGACTTGTCAGTTTTAACATAGTGCTTAGACTTGTTTGAAATCTGTTCGATAATGACTCTGGATGCTAGCTCGAATCCTTCCAGACTGTTGAACTCACTCTGACTGCTAACAGTACTCTCTGCTTTTCTCCTTCCCTTCTTCCTGCGTTACCTAAAGGAAGAAGAGTAGGAGGAAGAGAAAGAGAATGAAGAGGAGGAGGAATTTGTTTTTCAGTGTTTTTATTTGTTTTTTACTTGAGTACTGTGTTACCCAGCATAGCACCATCTTAGCTCTTAGAGACGTGTACCGGTGAATGTTGGTCTCGATATTTCTCTCCTTACACCTCACAAGTAGGTCTCACTTAGGTAGCAGAATACTCATTGTTTCCTTCTGAGCCCTCTTACCTTTTGAAGGAAGTGGTTTCCTCCAATTTTGGCCCGAGACAAGGATAAAGTCTGAATAAACTCCTTTACTGTATATATGTTAGGGGTACCACACCAGTGCTATTTTAAGATTTAGCATTTGATTTTATTGTTTGTAATTCTTCTGCCCACTAACCCTACCTGATAAAAATGCTAGTTTAGTGGCTCTTAACTCAGAAACCTGTTCATCTATGAAGATCAATTCTTCTTCTTGATTATGATGAAGAAGCATGGAATTTGATTCTGAGGTTGACAGCGGTGTTTGCTTTCCAGACAAAGCCCCATTTCTTGTGGATTTAAAGAAACCAGAGCTGAAGATCCCTCACACAGTGAACTTCTATGTCAAGCCCGAGCCCGGGGTGGTGCTGGGAGTCTGGTGAGTACAGCCACTGGACACAGGACAGGACTGCGTGATGTGCCTGCCAGGCACCCCTGCTGTGAAGGAAGAGGGGAGCAAAGCTGTGTCACCTTCTGTGTGGAGGTTGGAGCTCCTTGGGGGCACCTGGGAATCATCTGGTGAAATCTGACCTGCCTGGTTTTGCTTTGAAGTATGAAATCTTTTAGGTTTTGCCCCTGGCTTGTGGCCCTACCCACTTCTCCTGCCTTATTCTACACCACCCTTGCCACTGACCCTCTGCTCCAGACACACTGTCCCCCGACACGCCAAGCTACAGCCCCCTGGGGTATGCTGTGTCCCCCTCCTCCCTCCTGTCTCTGTTCCCCTATTCTGTCCTTTTGTCTAACTGCTACTCCTCTTTTTGGATTTTGCTTTAGGTGGTGGTTTTCACTCTCCACTCCCCATTTCAGGAGAGTGCTCTTGTGGCTCTCTCTGCTTTGCTCTTAGTACATTCTGCTCTATTGAAATGATACAAATGTTGATGTGATTATTTGCATAGTGTTTATCTTCTTTACCAGACCATAGCTTCTGTGGGTGACAGGACTTTGGTGGTGAATTTTCAACAATTAGCATAATTCCTGGCACACAGCAGGCGCTTAATAAATGTGTTTGTTTCCAATGAAGTCATGGGCATTCCATTGTCTTTTTCCATTATGCTAACCTCAGTGTTTTCTTCTGTTTGCTCCTACTACTTGATTTTGGCTGCCAAATTTCCAGGGCCCTGTTTTATATTTCCTCTCTCTGCATTTAAACCTCGGATCATTGAATGCTTAGGAGCCAATATGGCTGCACATAGCTTCTTCCTAACCTGCAGATAGCAGTTCAGCTAATGGTGCTGGAATTTAGAAATCCTGGTTCTTTGCTTTTGCCCCGAGGGCCGCAGGTTTGGTGGGCAGCTATGCTCATTATGAACAGCTCATCAGTGGGTGGTGGTCCCTAGATCTCAGCACAGAGGCCCTGGGGACAGCGGCAGATTCTCTGTCCTTTAATGATTGATAGGACTGAAGATTTGTCACCTCTTGGCTAGTTCTGCAAGTCCTCAGTGACATGGCCTGTGGCACGTTTTCAGGGTTCATTTATGAGTTTAACAAGATGGAGGAACTGGAGCTCGCTGATGTTTAATGTCACAAGTTCATTCTTGAGTAGAACAGCTTAGCTCTGTGGGAAAGGTCTTTTCCCCTACATGAGCTGGTTTGCCTTTAAATTGCTTTTAACTTGTCTCTTCAGCCAAACCAATCACAGATGGTGCATCAGTTAGCTTTATGTTGCTGGGGTGAAACACCTGACATATATATACAGCCCCAAAGAGAAAAGGTTTATTTTGGCTCATGGTTTCCACCCCGATTGGCTGGCTCTGGGGCAGAAATGAAATGGCAGAAGGGTGATAGAGGAAGGCTGCTCAGCTCACGGCATCTGGAAGCAGAGAGAGAAGGGGCTGAGGACAGGATGCTTCGTTCAAAGGCGAGGCCCCAGTGACCCGCTTCCCCCAGCCAGCCCAGTCCGGAACAGCACATTCGGCTGTGAACTCATCAGCGGATTAACCCTCTGATGAGCTTAGTGCCCCCAGGAGCCATCGCCAAAAAGCCCCAAAAGCCCACCTCTGGACATGTGAGCCATTGGGGGGCATTCCTGACCCAAACCATAGCAGATGGCAAGAATATATTAACTTTCTCTTGTTTCCATTCTTGCGGGGAGGGGTCATTTCAATGGCTTGGACCTAAAAACTGTAGTTTTGGAAGCTTAATGGCTCTGAAAGTCAGGAGAATCAACATGGTGAATGGTTCAAAGGGCGTCTCTGTGCCTATGGTGTGGTGGGTCAGGGCAATAGTGGTTACAGAGATGTCCTGTCTGTGAAACTCTGTGTGAAGCCCCTGCCTTGGTCTCCAGGCATACAGTGCCCAGCTGCCGGGGAGAAGAAGCCCAGGGGAAGGACCGGTGCTGGTATGAAGCGGCCCTTCAGGATGGAAACCCAATTATTGTGTATCTTCACGGCAGTGCAGAACACAGGTCAGTGCCTCTCTTCGGATTTTTAAAAGGAGACGAGGAGCATTTCAGCTCAGTGGGACAGTGCAGGAGAGTGAAGGCCGGCCTCAGCTTTTTACTGTCAGAGCCCTGCACGGATTCCTGTCTCTTTGCTGAAATCAGAGGGTGCTCTAGCAAAAGCCTTCTCCTAAAGTTTGTTCTATAGGTAGAATCACGTGGTTCCTTAACTAAGAAGGAGAAAAGAATAATCTAAAATCTGGATATTGATTTCAAAGAAAGCAGTGATTTCTTGGCTTCCTAAGACTATTCAGAATGGTGGTCTGAACCTATGGTCAGAATCAAGACTTGCTTTTGTCAAGTTCTGACCAAGAATGAAAGCAAGCAAGCCGTGAAGGTTTGAAGGAGGCGATTTCATGCATTTATGCCTTGTAACAACCGTTCCCAAAGACTCCACCAAAACCACAGCCTTGTGAACAGGCCACTGAGACTTAACCTAAAGAATATATGTTCAAGGACATGCACAAGGTAGTTTGTTCAGCCTCGGACTGCTGTCACTCTCCTTGCAGCCAAGAATTATTATTTCAAAATGTTTGCATAATCCACATCTTGCCTTAAACACTTCCCCTTGCTGCCACCTCTTAGAATATGCCTGTAGCTTCCTGTGGCACAAGTGTTACCATTTCAATGCTCCACTAGTCCTGAATTCTTCAAACACTCTTCTTAGAATTTCTGATTATTTAGGTTGACAGCCACAGATGACTGGAGAGAGGATAGGGATGCATTATGGGGAAAAAAGAAAAACAATTTCCACACTGGTAGTCTTTATACTTTATTTAGCATTAATTCTGTTAATCAAAAAATATGACTCCTAAGAGAAATCACCTGGAATTCTGACCACAGGTACAGGGATCATCTAATGAATTCTAGTCTGGAATATTCATGGCTCAGCCCGCAATCTGCAGTGTCTTTCTTTGTAATGAAGATAGTCTCCCAGAAGTCTGGCTAGCCTTTGATGTGTTCTCAGAGCCTTCTGGGCCTATGTAATTACACCAGGTGATGATTATTGGCCATGACTGCTCCTCCTCAGCCTGGGGGAGGGGCAGTGTGGCTCAGAAAGCCACAGATCTCGCTCCATCTCTGGGGGACACCCTTCCAACTTGGCGATAAACTCTGGAATCTGCCTCTTGGCTGGCTTGTGTTGGGCTTGCTTTCTCACTGTCTTTTTCTGTCAGCTGATGGCTTTTTCAAAACTTGCCTTTTCTCAAGGGGGCTTTCTTGCCGTGTTCATTTTAGAATCACATTTCCTGGGATTGTCTGTGAACTCTGACAATTTTCGGATAGTGTCATCTTGGGTCTGGTGTTGCTCAGAGTACCACGTGGATGTATAGTCACATCTGTGCCTCTGTGTAAATCTGAAATGGTTCTCAGTTGTCTGAGATTTGTTGGCTCTGGTTTTAGTCTCAGCTCCCTTTTGTCTTTTCCCCAGAACACTCAGCTTGTAGTCAACAGTACTGAGCTGAAAGTACTGGGCACTGAGCACCATAAGGGCCTTGCTAATGTATCAGAAATGGTGGTTCTGGACTTGGGATCCACAGAAGCTGCAGAGGGCCATAAACCTCCTGCCTCGAATTATATCTAAAATTTAAAGTGTGGGCACATTTTCCCCTCTGGGAAATGAGCTTTAAGCTTTTACCAGATGTTCAAAAGGCACCACCTTTTGATGTGTAAGAAACTTGATTCTAAGGCAAACTTCAAATGGCTTTTGATAAAATTAAGTGTCTTTTAAATCACTCACTTTCCTTTGTTAATATAGGAGTAACCAATATAATCATTTTGGGAAAAGACTGTTTCGTACTTCCAGAGTGATGAATCTCTTTCCTCCACTTTTCCTGGCCCTTAATGGTATTGAGGATGGGATACAGGGAAATTAACTCAGTGATTATTGGCCATGACTTGACTGTACCATCCTTTTTTTCTGAAAAAGCTACTCTAGCATTTACTTTCCCTTTACCTTCTGGAACTATTCCCGGACATAAGTTTTGCTGTATGAAGGGAAAGGAGATGGATTATCAGGAGTTCACCAAATGCTCAGGCTGAGAAGCTCAAGGGTATCAAGGACTCAACGGACCCATCGATAGGAGGCAGCCATGGACCAGCCACTGGCCACATCGGAGCTGCAGGCTCTACCTCCAAGAAACAGCTCCCTTTCTCTTAGTTATTTACTTCTCTAACCTAAAAAAGAAAGGTGTGAGATGGGGTGCTAGCAGCGTGAGAGTGATGTTCATGGAACTTGTCATTGTAGTTCCTAATTCTTGCTTTTTCCTTTGACGTCCTGTACAGGGGTGCTCCTCACAGGTGTAAGCTGACAAAGGTAGGTTTGAAGGGGCTTCAGAGTGCCTGCGTCCTAAGTCCCCATCTGGCCTGGGCTATAGTCTGAAGCTCTTCCCTGGTCCTCCATATGGTCTCCTGCTGGGCCCCGGGGTCCTGGTCGGGGTTAGCAGTGGTGTTGGGGACCAAAGTGTCATGTGTGGATTTCTCTTGATGTTGGCCATGAGGGATCCAAATAGGTGTGGGACTTTCTCAGTTCCCAGACACCATTATGAACGTATTCCCTTTATCTCTGGAAGTTGAAGACACTTTCATCGTTTTTTATTTTTTACTTTTCCAGAGGGAGTACATTAAATGGGAGATCATCCTTCCTTTTTTTTTTCATCCTTCTTTTAACAGAAGCTGCTTTGTCAATGGTAAAAAGACAAAGAATGTCTGCCTTTAAAAGTCATTCAAAGTATGATTTCCAACTAAATGAGGTTTTGCAGAGCACCCAGTGGCCACACAAGCTCTCCTCTTTGCTCTTGCATGGTCCCAATTCTCTGGAACAGCCCCTACATTTCTTAATAGGAGGAAGGCGGCTGGCTGGTTCTCCACTGAGCTCTCTAGGCCTCGGAACTGGTCGGGCAGGCTGCCTGTTGACCTGTTGCCACACTCCAGTTAGGATATCTGGATGGCTTTTTCCATCACAGATCCCAGAATTGTCTCTCCTCCCACATAGCACAGGCCCTCGGTGCTGCCTCGGTATCTCCGGCACCTTGTGTGCACAGACAGAAGCTCCTCTCTTGTCGCCTCCCTTCTCCCCATCACTGTCTGGCCAGAGCCGCTCCTTGCCTAGCAGTAGTGGCTGGATGAGTTGTCTGGGGAGCAGGACGTCCCTTATTTGTCAGTTTGCCTTGCACCCCACCGCTGGCTCTTTTCTGCCCCACTTGGGATGTGGAGAAGCTGATGTCCACAGCTATGTGACCCTTCTCCTCCCTCTCCAAGCTGAATTGCACATGCTTGATATCTCCAGAAAGCAGGCTCATGGGTGTGGAAAGCATCCAGCTTGTAGGTGTATAGAGAGGACGGTGGCTGGTGTGGCAGGCCTGTCCACAGGTGCATTGAGGTCATCAAGAGCTGTGTCATCACTGCCCGGCAGGACCGAGCTTCCCAGTGCTTCCTTTCCTCCTACAGATTTGTGATTTCTTTTAAAGAAATAAATCTTAAGTTCTATTTCCTCCCTTACTGTTTTCCTCCTTCCCTTTCTCTTTCGCCTTGCTTTTTCCTTCCATTCTTTCAATCAGCGAAATGCAGCTGTTTTCATTTACTTTGTCCCCTGATCTTTCTCTTTTTATATAAGGTCTCTGTCACTATGACCATATCTTTCATGTTGTGTGCTTTTACTTAATACTATTTTATAGACATTCGTCCATGGTTTTACACAGTCCTCAGCTCTAAAGGCTATGTCACTCACCATTTTATGTATTAATAATTGTTTTCCTAACAATTCCACTGATGTTGGAATGAAGTTGTTTTTTCTGAATTCATTTGAAATGGTTGCTAAAGAAAACTTTAAGCATCTAGCTTTTTTTTTTTTTTTTCCATCATTCTTCTTCTTCATTTTCCTAGTGGCAAATTCTTAGGATCTGTTGCTCTTCTGGAGTTGGGTCATCAAGGGGTCCTTCAACAAAAGGCTCAGACAGCACACAGCTGTTCCATTTCCCTGGAGGAGCTGCCGGCTGCACTGGCCAACTTTGCAGGGGGTAGAGTTGGGACCGATATGTAAGAGTTTCATCCAGCAGGGCACCAGCAGCTCTGTTTGCATGTACAAGCACCTTCCTGCGGTGTTGCTGCCCCGGTTAGTATTGGGACAGACGCAGTCAGTGGTGGCCCTTGGTTCTGTCTCCATGAACTCGGTGACTCTGGACACGTTACTGAAATTCTCCAATGCTGTTTTCTTGTTATTTTATCTTACTTAATTATTTAGTTTTGTGGTACTGAGCAACAAAAAAAACGGGGACAGCCTTTTACTGTGCAGGCTCTTGAAAAACTGTATTGAACCCTCACAACTGATCTGGAGGGTAAATATTATCCCCATTTTAAATTTTAAAAATTTAAAGTGCCCACACAGTGGGATCTTGTCCCATTTTTATGTCTCTTGTTTTTGTCTATGTATTTCACGTCATGTAAAGTCACATTTTTCATATCCATCCCTTCTTTACCTACAAGGAGCTTGTCAGTGAACTGGAATGAGTCGGAAAGACTTTCATGAGTTGGAAGGAACTATTTATTTATTTTTATGACTACATGTTTGCAGTCCACAAAGCTTACATTCCTTGCATGGAGCTGGTGCATGTATGTACATAACATAGCTTCATTTCTTTTCACCCCTTCCCTCCCTTCGCACCTTCTCCTGCCATCTCTTGATCCCTCTCTCATTTGAGAAAGATCTATCTCCTTACTATTACCTTTTAGTTTGCTCTTTATTGATAATTTGGCTTTCTCACACCAGAGAAGTCATGCAGTATTTAAACTTCTGTGTCGATTTATATGTCCACCCACAGGTGAATGGATAAAGAAAGTGTGGTATTTACACACAGTGGAGTAGCACTGTGCTAGAAGGAAGGACACATTTCAGTGATCGGTAGGAAAATGGATGCATCTTGAGACCATAATATTAAGTGAAATAACTTTTTGATTGAACTCAATGCTTACCTGATCATGTATAATATAAATATCTTCCCATTATTTGATTGCCTCTACTCCAACTCTGTGTAAAATTCTTATTCTTGGGGGGAATT